GCTAACGGCTGTGTTGTTTTTCTGGGGTTCTCATTGAAGATGACGTCACGGCTCCGCCTACACTGCGTTACTATAGATACTGCCCCAGTTCCTAAACTGTAATGGAAATGCGCCATAAAGTGAGCCAGTCCTAACGAGGCCTAGCCATACCGAGCGAGGCCGTGTAGTGGAAACGCGCCACTACTGTATGGTCAGGGATCGGCAACCTGGTTACGTTGCCCCGTGCCACCATTGGCACGCGGTAACGTAACCAGTGGCACACTAGGAATAAGTGGAATAAGCGTGCAAAAATATTTTTAAAACATTTCGGATCCTGAACGAGACCGCCGCCAGAGCGCGTCTCCCCGTTACCTGCAGAAGGAAGCCATGCACGCAACGCAGCCCCACTCTCTTTAAGGCCGCTACACACCCACCTGAGACCAAAGAACGTGTACCGAAGGGGTCCCGACTTTTACGTCAGCTACGTCGCCTGCGTCGGCTACGCCGCCCGCCTACGCCGCCCGCCTACGCCGCCCGCCTACGAACACACCGCAAATACTTCAGTCGACGAGTGGCAATAACTGTCCTTACCAGCAGGCAGCGGTAGTGTGAACAGCCAATCAGAGTGATTGCTTGGGCCGACTTTCTCTGACCTTCTCTGACGCGAGAGGTGTGAAAAGGTGCCGTAAAGACACGACGGTGCGGGACACACTAACCTGAGTAGGGCGCCGCGAAGGCCCGACTGCCTCTGACGGCCTCTGACTCCCAAAATCGGGTTGGTGTGTAGCCAGCTTTACTCCAGTCGACTTGCTGCTGCTTTCCTCCATGGTGAAACGATCAGGGGTGAAGTGCTGCCGGAGCGCGCCGGCACTTCACAAATTGCATTACCCATAAGGAGCTGTACAAATGCCGCAGTTTTTGCGTGGCTGTGTCTTTAGTTGAAAGCCCGGTGGCGATCTGCTCATCTCTCATAGAAAATAATATGCTACACAGGGGCGGACTGTGTAGCATATGTGTGTTCTGGAGAATCACAGAACCAACGGTCGTCATTAATTATTATTATGCCGTTTAAACCAATTGTTTAAATTTGTTTAAACCGCATCATGTAAGTTGCGCTGACAGGTGAAAGAGGTCCACACACTGCTTCCCCGCAGCGAGGCTCCCTCCGCCCCCCCTGTTGACAGTTCACGAAAAGTCATTTAAAGCCTACACGGTTCATATGGACAAGCACCAAGACAAAACACATCCCGACACCCAGAGAACTAATTGGTAAACTAAACCTGCTCCAGAGCCTTCACCCAGGCTCGGATGAAATTACACAGATTACAACGCTTCACTGTTGTGATATGTTATTGATCCCTGTCCTCAAATAGTTTTTCCATTTGCCCCCCCTCACCAGGAAGAGTGAAGGCTCAGCTACACATCAGAGCCCATGGAGGGTATCTCAGCAGGGTGTGTGCTTGGTAACATGGAAACATATGCCTCTCTGGTTGAAGAGGAACTCACAACACCACCCTGCTGCCCGGAGCAGACCCCCCCCCCCCTACATCTGCACACCGTGTTAATGAATAACATAACTCCATCTGCACTGCATCCACAAAAACACGGAATGAAAGCCACGTTATAGATCAGTGGTACCTCTGAGGAATGGGTGCATTGATTGGATATGAGATCTAATGTGTGACTGCTGCCTGCATCTGAACAGCTGTAATTCCTCTGATTAGACTTCAGATTGCAATTACTTTGTGTATCGACAACACATGTTAATGAGACTGTTTGTGCCAGAATTCGACATGAACTGCATATATGGTTTAATACGGATGTTTAGGTGGTGAATATTGTGTGTGTGTGTGTGTGTGTGTGTGTGTGTGTGTGTGTGTGTGTGTGTGTGTGTGTGTGTGTGTGTGTGTGTGTGTGTGTGTGTGTGTGTGTGTGTGTGTGTGTGTGTGTGTGTGTGTGTGTGTGTGTGTGTGTGTGTGTGTGTCCAGAAGGCCTGAGTTGATCAGAGAGGAGCGACAGCTGTGCTACAAATCAGAGCCCATTTACTGGTGACAGAGTCATTAAAGCCTGCTCATCTCATAAAACACAATGCACATGGTCAAATACCATTCACTCCATTCACGCTCATAACTCAGTCCACTGGGCACACATGCTAACACACACACACAGGCACATGCACACACACACCCCCAGATGCACATGCAAACACAAAACCTCTAGCAAAGCTAAACCGAGTGTGTCATTTGGAATTACTATAGGGGGCGGCTTCCTATGTGTGTGTGTTGTTTGTGAATCCATAATAAGCAGGGTGATAACGACACAGAGGTAAAGATGGGTATTTGCTAAAAGCACAGTGGCAGTAAAAACACTTTGTCCAAGGTTTGTTTATTACGATAAGTGCACGCCATAAGACACATACTATATCCTCTCTTCTTTTTCTTATACTGTATAGCACAAATACACTGACTACATGCAGATTCATGCAAATATACTGCATGGATAAAATAAATGCACATCAACTATTGGCTTTTCCTTTCATGCACAGACCTGTGCTACATTTCTTTACAGCCATACTATAATTTCTCCTATAACAACCTCTCTCCTCTATATAATGGTTTTCTTGCATCTGTAAAAACGCCAGTGTTATAAAACACACTGCATACTAATAGAAAGTATATGTAATACGTTGTTCACATTGTAGTAGGCATGCTGTCAAAAAAATACACTGACTTTAATCTGTATTTTAATAGTGTGTATTCAATGGAGATACTCGATGTATACAACTTTGAATGATATGGATATTTCTACTGTTTTATATTAGAGTAATTTGTGTGCAATTACTTGTTTACATGCTGCTGTGACAAAATAATTTCCCAAATTGGGACCAATAAAAGTATATCAGAAAGAAAGAAAGAAAGAAAGAAAGAAAGAAAGAAAGAAAGAAACAGGTTTATTACCAAGTAGGTTAACACATAAGAGGAATTTTCCATGGCGTATATGGCGCATACATAAACACAGTTAAAGAACATCAATTGTAAGAAAATAAACAAAAATGTAAACATTATTTAAAAAATATAGAGCAATATTTACATGAAATATAGATATACCAAAAATATAAACAACAACCACAAAATGTTTGTAAAAATAATAGAATAAAATCAAATATCAGCAGTTTTGGTATGAAAAGTGGACAGCCGTGCAGATATTAAAAGAGGTTGCTTTGTGCAATTTGGGAGGGTTGTGCAGGACTGACTGTGATATCTATTCTATAAAGAAGTAAAAGTAGAATCTATTTATTGCTGCTCAAAGCAATGCAAAATATATGTATACCATTGCAGGATATAGAATCAGAGAATTACTTCAAACCTAATAACAATACTTCAAGAAGGGAAAGCAGAGAACACGTTGTTGAATGGTGCTGAAGGGCAGCGTGGGGCAGCTTCCCCTTCACACAGTCACACACCGCGCTACAAAGTGCTATCTGAGGATTAATGTGCCATAGGCGGGCACTGGGGGGTTAAAGCGGCCATGTGTGAGCTCACAGAAACCCCTGAGCTGAGGCGCTGCAGCAGCACGGTGAGAGAGAAATGTGTGTAATAGTTGTGACCAACGCGTGTTTAATGATCCACAAAAAAAACGCCATTTTAAAATGTTAAATATGGGTACACATCTTAGTATTCACAAAAAATCTATTCAGCCAATCAAATAAATGTAAAAACTATTTACAAATAAACACATCCTAATAAATGTCAGTATACTGTATATTTCCAACTCAAGGCACATTAGTAAAATAACATTTGCTTACGTAATACTACCTGTGCAATAAAATATCTCAACATATTATTGACATTTTGTGGTATTTATTTAGTGTGCACAGATCACATACCACATCTGCAAAAGTAGAAAAAGTACTCGGATCTTAAGTAAAAGTAAAAGTACTTAATTGTAAAATACTGTTACAAGTAAAAGCCTGGCATGCAAAATCAGACCTTAGTAAAAGTAAAAAATATACTCACATTTCGAAAGTAAAAGTAAAATTTGTGTGGGCCCATTTAAAATCATATATATAAAATAATAGATTAGGATTTTTGATGCATTCATGTCATAGCAACACAGCTTGCACAAGTGGAGCTCGTTTAAGTTATTTTCAATACTACTGCTGGATATATTAACATATATTTAAATGTCAATGTTTATTTATTAGTTTATTCATATTTTGTATTAGCTCATAACCTAAATCTAGAAAGTAACTAACTCAAGATGTTAGATAAATGTAATCTAACATACACGTACAACGTAACGTACAGTGTTGGCATCTAAAAAGTATTGGATTAAAAGCGTGAAATTAAAATACTCATGTAAAGTATTAGTATCTCAAAAATGCAATTGAGTACAGTACTTGAGTAAGTGTTCATTACATTCATCCACTGCACATCCACATGTAGATTATATTAATATGTGTTTAGTTTTGAGAGTGCTCCTCTTATCCACATATGCATGTTATATTTTGGAGCTCGTGGAAAATGAGGGTGTCCATCCATTAATTTGTACTATCTCTCAGAAACACGCAGCAGATCATCAGCATTTATCACATATACATCTGACATTATTCCCTTTTTTAGTACAGGATGTGCCACAACCAACACGAGTTTACTGTGGCTTTTATTACTATAGTGCAGTATGCAATGACTGTAGAGTAAGTTTGCTCATATACACACCACAAGTGTCACTGAGGTGAGGTCACTCCTGGGTGCACACAACAGGGGATTATTGCTGCACTCTGGAGAGTTGGTCTTTTTCTGTCATCTAAGTAGATAAACACAAAGTGTTCTGATAACAGGAAGATCATTACACCTTGCAACTACTTTGTTGGGGAAGACCACAAGTTCCAGGTGAAGCATGTAGGACTTATTCATGTAGACGTATCTGTATATTGCAGTTCAACAGTGATATGGCAGTGTATGATAGTCAGATGTTAAGAGGAGCACACAGATTCCCTCACAGGAAAACATTGGTCCTACCTTTCTCAGAGAATGCACCATCCTTCATGGCCTGGTCACAGTCAGAGAGTGGCAGCACAGCTGTGGATGACCCATTGACCTTGAGATGAAGAATTCCGCTATACATCACCATATGCCTGAAAAGGCAAAATAGGAAATATCAGGGTTTATTTTATCGTCAGCGACAGTGTAGCTATTTTTCTGACAGTAGTAATTACATTTCTCTAGTTGTGTCATTGTATGAGGTCCTCAGCATTTAAAAAATGGGTTGTTTACTCATATCATAAAAACAATGCTAACATGTGAGTGACTAATGTAGATGAACAAAGTATTAATTTAAAACGAGTAAAATATGTATTTAGAATTCATAAACAGGATTAAAACATTAATAAGCTGGTTTATAACTCACTATAATGCATGTATCTGCCTATAATTAATACATATTTAAACAGTGCTTTTAATTCTAAAGGGGGATTCAAAGTAGCTTTACTTTAGTTCACACAGTTGACTTAAAAAAAAAAAACACTTACCTCTTCTCACAAACGCTTTGAATAAACTCCCACTTAAAAGTTAGAAACTGACTTAACTTGAAACAATTTCTGTGCAAAAATGTAAAGGTTTAACTCCCCAAAGGTTCTGAACCGGAAAAAAGCTGTACAGCACAACAGACTTCAACACAAATTCAAAGTTGTTCTTAAAGAATGCTGTCGCAGTGGTTTGGACGACACTTTAGCATTCAGGAAGAGAAAAAGTCACAATGCTTTCCATTCAGGGTTGAGAGGGAGAACACAAGGGGGTTACACAAACCAAAATATAGCTGGGGGCTCAAACTCCACTGAGCATATGCCACGAGAAAACACATTATACACTTATTTACTGTCTTCAGTGTACACTAGAACAGCAAGCATGGCATTAAAATTAGGTTTAAAGTAGAAACAAGATCACATTTGCATTAAAACAGATACTTAGTAAATACCTAAGGAAGTAATGACTCAAAACTAAGGAATGAAAAAAGTAACCGTATGGTTCGACAGAAAAAAAAGTAAACGGTGCCCCGAGCCACTCCAGTAGTCCCACACATTTCCCCTTTGTCCTGCCCTGTGACTGTGTATCTCCCCCAGCCGACTACTTTCACACCACGGCTCTCCTCAGAGAGACAACCACACCAAAAGCATCGCAGTGGCAAAAAGTCACAAGATGCGCTTGAGGCAAGATTCTCTCTCAAAAAAAGAAAGGCATTGAAAGTAGATTATCCCAGAAATTGTGTGAATATAGCTATTCTCCATTCTTAACAGCAAGAGATCCACAACTAACATTTTGTTCCCTGCATGTAAAAATACTACAGTTGTACAGCGAGTAACCCAAGTATAAACTCTCACCTGGGTTTCGTCAGTTGAAGTTTGTTTGATGCTGGAGGAGGAGAACACAGGTGGGGAATTACAGTGATTTCCCTAAACAAACAGACACAGGAGAGCACCTGCAATTCAAATACACGCTGGCATGTAAAACAAAAATCAGGTCGACAAAAACTTAATTTGCATGCATTTGAATAGGGCAAAGGGACCTCAAAATGTTCTGTGTAAGTCACCTGGGTTCATTGGATCAAATAAACAATGATGGAAATATAGTGACTTAGTTCATTGAATGCGATCTGTTGATTTCACTTCGTGGCTACACATGATTCAGACTGTGATGCCTTCTGTGCTGTCAGCTTTCTGTTGTTCAACTCACTTTACAGTAAACAGGAGCTGGTTCAACTGGTTTCATTTTGAACCAAAGCTCTCTCATTGTAGAAGAAAATGCCTGCCCTAGTGTGGACAGAGGATGTAAGTGCAGCATCTGGAGAAAAAGAGAAGTCATTTATTAGCATCACAGTTTTGTTTTATTGTGCCGTTTTGAGATAATATATTCTTGATATAGCGTTATATCAACTATCCTATAATAATAATAATAATAATAATATATATATATAATATCAAAACTTTGTTTATAGAGAAGAGTAAAATGCTACTTGATGCACAAATATTACCATATTATCTAATAATATCATATAATACATCATACATGGAAGCAATTCTTCTGCAGAATTACTATTTTAACTTTTTATACTGTAAGTATATTTTGCTGATAATATTTATGTAATTTTGCCTTTACTTAAGATTTTGAATGCAGGACTTGTACTTGTAATAGCGTATTTCATCATTACTTTATTGGTACTTTTCAAAGAAACGGAATACTTCTTCCACCACCACTGGTGCTAACACCTATGACAGGTCACAGTGTATAATGGGGTGTAGCAACACCTGTCTTTCGGAAGGTCGACGGTTGCTAGCAAAATTGTTTGTTGTCAAGTTGTAGGAATTCATTTGACCTACCTAAAGCCAAACTTATTAACATCACGGAGGTGTCTGTCTACATGTCCTAACGAGGTATTTACCTTTGAACAGTAGTCTCCTTTAGAACAACAACAAACTTCTCCCTACCAGGATGAAGTTGTAAACATATTTGTTCCCCAGTGTCCCTCAATCTGTATCCCATTGTCTGTAAGCACCCTACCGTCACTCCACCTTCCCCTCCTATTGGCCACTGTCAGTGCACCTGTTCTACCAGCCCGCCAATCACACGCTTGGTTGGGGTGTGCTCCAAGATGGCGACTTCCAGGGCTCAGTATCAGACATCATCGCATAAGAAAGCTAAATATCACTATCTACCCGTGGTTTAAACTTCCTAACAGGCCGAAAATAAGGAGCCGAGTGGGGCTGAGTTGTCGCCAGTGAAACGCGGAAACAGTTCCCCTATGGTTTGTTCGTGTGAGGAGCCGGATTCGGTGTCGGTCTGAAGGAGGTTGTGTTATCCGAGTATGGCCACCGAGAACAGGATCAATTTTTGGAGGAGAAACGCAAAGGTTCCCGGCAGGTGAGTTTCTCTCACTCTCTTTTAATGTTACTTAACGAAACAGTGCTTATTTTACAGTGCTTCGGTGCGTTTCAGACGGACACTGTTAAATATGTAAATATATAATTAACAGTCAGTAGAGTTACATATCATATCATATAAACATGGTCTATCGTTGGCTTTAACAGACTCATAGTGAAGTATAGGAATACGATGTTAAGACAAAGCTTTTTAACTGACTTGAACGAAAACAAATTCAAACAACAAAAAGTAGCTCAAAGCTGACCATTAGTTGACCATTATGTAGTTGTGGGTTTTAATGTATTCACTTAACGACTTGTCAGACTCTTTCCACTGTCTGTTTGAGTGTGTATCTGTATAATAGCCTCCAGCTGAGAGAGACAGACCTCCATCTCTTTCTTCTCTGCGGTGTGTAACGCTCAGAGTGGAGCTGTCACGCCCGCCATATGCTTTCTCAGGCGGTGCTAAGAGGTGCTGACTCTCGTTATGGGCTGCTGTGGGCTAGCTGTTGAAATAGATGACACTGAAGGAAGCTCCACTATCTTGATAAAGATAACACTGCTGTAACATCAGTTAGTTCTCTCTATTTTGTAATCTCTTAATACGTTTTATTAGATGAGTCATAATGGAAGAAGTTAAATGATTACTATAGTGTTTTATTGATGACCCAGCAGCTAACACTTTGGGTTACAGGGTTAACGCTTGTTACAATCTAATTAATTGGTGTTAGGGAAAACATAGTATTATGTATTCGAAGAGGGAGAGATCATGACCATTGCTTTAATATAGGCCATAGCACCAGACTATTCCCAGCCTGTACAGCGTGCCCAATAGGATCATAGTCATTGATTGTAATCAATAGGGGACCTACAGGTATTCTCTTTTCTTGTATTCTCCTCACCTCCTCATGGAAAAATAGTGCTGCATCGATTTGTCAACAAATCAAATATATTAGTTATGTAAATTAGTCGATTAGCCAACTATTATGATTTATTATGATTTTGTAATATTTATAAAATATAGTATTGAACTAAATATCTTTGGGATTTTGAAGACATTTAAATGGGTCTGTTTGAGAAACTGGGATGGTCATTTACTAATTTTCTATACTTTCCTTCATTTCATGGACAAAATGAAGAATAATTTAATAGTGAAAAGGATCTGCATTTGAATGGATAATGAAAATAGTTGTTTATTGCAACCCTAATCGAACATGAGAACTCATCAGACTTGATTGATAAGAAAGGACCTGTGTTCATACTCAAGTGTTTTCCTGTGTACTTGCCTATGTGTCTTTATGACTCTGAGGGTTGTCCTGCCCTGGCAGACACGGTAGAGCAGGTTTGGGGGGGTTAGGGAAGTGTGTTTGGGAAATCTGAGAAGAGAGGATCTCTAAGGAGAGGGCGTTGCTTTTTTGTCACACACACTGATCTTTCTCAAACTGTGGTGGGTGGAAGGCTGGAAACACAAACACATGTTTGAACAGGAAAGCCAGCAGCTAGTCACCCTGCCTGTCCTTGAGCCGCTCCTGATAAAACCCAGCTGAGGCTGATAAAAAAGAGACTCTGGCACTGGCAGATAATGAGCAGGCCCAGTTCTTAGACACCAGGCTTACTGTCAGTTTATTCATGCAAATTATAGGAATTAGCCTGACAACGCTTAGCCTCGAGCGTGGGAGCCACCGTTTGACAGAGTCCACATTACTAGTGCTTCTATTTGTTGCTTTGTTGTGTTTACACAAAAGCCTCTGAGATACTTTGAACGAAGCGCTTATCATTAGTGACATTTCTGACACACTGACAGAGAGCATTTTTGGATAAAACGTCATATTAGATTCAGTGTTAGACCACCGCTCTGGTGAAATAAAGGAAAAGCTATTAATCAATTCCCTTTCCAAAATCTGTGAACATAATATTTATTTAAGAGTAGGCCTGCACAATTAATCAAAACTTTATCCAAATTGTAATATGTCTAAGAGCAAAATTCAAATTCGCAGAAGCATAATATTTTTTAAAGGCTAAATATGTGTTAAAATATCATTTTGAATTAAGTGTTTTCTACAGACTAGGCTCAATATATTTGTTTGGTACAGATCCACTTAAAAAATCATACCCTGATCATTTAAATATATTTTTCAATTAAAAACTTAAATAATGTTACAAAAATTATAATGTCAATTATATCACAATTGCAATATCAGTCAAAAATAATCGCTGTTTATTATTTTTCCACATCCTGCTTTAAAGAGTCTTCAATTTAAGACCTCAAACTACTTTCAGTTTCACAGTATCTTTGACCAAAAGCTGCCCTCCAGTTACAAATAGTTTTAAGAGTTAATGTTCTAAAGGCAAATTATTTGTTTACAAGACTGAAGCAAAGATCTAATTCTGGCTCTTACAGACGCAGATATTCCCATGCTGTGTAACCCCCAAACAACTGAAGGTTGAGTGTTGGGCATGCATTACTTAATCCAGTAAAGTGTTTAGTTTGAAGCCTTAAAGTGCACCTATCATGCTATTTTTAGGCAATAGCATAGGTCTCAGATATATACAAATATATAAAAAACATGTCTATGAAGTGTTTTGCTCAAAATACCAAACAGATCACCCATTCTAGCCATGCCTCATATCCCTCTATTTCACTTCCTGTTTCAAAAGTGCTGATTTTGGGTATAAAGCTTTAAAAAAATAAAAAATTGATAACAAATAAAAAAGGAGGGGGCTGAGCTCATGCGGGACCCGGCAGCTACTGTCTAAACTAAATGCTGCCGTGATGAAACGCCATATCATGGATTATCAAGGATTATTTCTGAAACAGTATGGAGCTCAAAGGCTTTCTCTCTTGCCGGTTATACCACAAGGTGAGTTCCTTTTTTATTTCCTGCTTCTTCACACACATGCTCTCCAGTACAGGTTAGCTCTGAGTGTTAGCGATGCTAATGTTACACCGGCCATATCACGTCCAAAACAGTCGGGCATTGTTTCTGATAGCAACTTTCTGATAGTGCCGTGGGTCCACATTTCCGATATTACGTCATATCGGACGCAAATCTGGATCAGCTCCGTTGTAGCCCCATCTTTAGAGATTTGGGTACGGAGGAAAGAGAGAGAGGGTTTTATTTTCTGACGCTGCGTGAGTTCCCCGACACACCGGGGACACATATTTATGTATAAAAGACATCAAAAAGTGCATTTTGCATGATAGGTCCCCTTTAATGTTTGAATGGCTGGAGACGCTGCTGCCCTTGGCTTTCCTTAAAGGAAAAGAGATAAGAACAGCAGTGTTGTTGGCATCTGTACCTCTGGCTAGGGCTGCTCAATTAATCGTATTTTAATCGCAATTACGATTATGGCTTGCAACGATTACGAAAACAACGTAATCGAAATAAAACAATTATTTTTTTATTATTATTATTAGTTTTCTTTTTTTTTTTAAGTTTTATTGGTTTTGCAGTTGAATTATTCTTAAAGTTCAGGGTAATCAACTGTTAAAAACATACTGTTAAAAAAAAAATTCTCCAATAGATGTTTTCAAAGTAAATCGATAATCGTTTTTAATAATTGTGATATCAATTATTGACCCAAATAATCGAGATTATGATTTTTGCCATAATCGAGCAGCCCTACCTCTGGCCCAGATCCCATCTTACAACTCTGGACTGTGTCTGCCTGAGCTCACTAGAGAGTTGGAAAGAAGCTCAGCGGAGAAAGAAGATTCTCACATCCGCCGAGCATAATGCCCACCACAGGGTGGTGAGGGGCACAGGGGCTGCACAAGCTGTCCCCCACTTCTGTTCACTACACACTTCAAACCCAGGCGGAATAACACGGAGTTTAGGTCATTTATTGATAGGGCTGTCAATGTTTTACCATGGTGTACTTTTCTGTTATTTAATTTTTACTTATTTAGTTTTCACAAAACAGTCAGTCAGACAGACAAAACAACGAATAAATAGGGACCGAAGGCCTTGGGTATAAGTAGTGGGGGGCATGGGTATGGAGGGACTTGTAGGTGAGGAGGTGGATCTTATATGATATGCAGGATTTGACCGGCAGCCAGTGGAGGTGGAAGAGGATGGGAGTGATGTGCTGTGCAGTTTTGAACATACTGGAGCCTGTCCAGGGATTTGTTGGGTACCCCGAACAGGACACCGTTGCAGTAGTCCAAGCGGGAGGTGACAAATGCATGTACTAAGGATTCTGCAACGGACTCCGAGAGTGACGGTCGGAGTCTGGCAATGTTCTTTAAGTGGAAAAAAGCAGATTTGGTGACGGACTTGACTTGGGAGTGGAAGGAAAGGGTGGAGTCAAAGATGACACCTAGGTTGCGGACTTCAGGAGATGGAGCAGCCGTCAACCTCCAGGATGAAGTCACCAACCTTCCGGAGCAGCGCCTTGGGTGCCACAACCATGAGCTCTGTTTTCTTGCTGTTAAGCTTGAGGAAATTTGATGACATCCAGGTTTTTATTTCATGCAGGCAGTTTACAAGGGACTGAGGGGGGAGCTGGGAGGATGGAGTAGTGCTGAGATAGATTTGGGTATCATCAGCATAGCAGTGGAAGTTGAGTCCATGATGGCGGATGATCTGGCCGAGGGGGAGCATGTAAATGGTGAACAGGAGGGGGCCAAGTAACGTGATATAGTTGTATGCTGTTTCTTAAGTTCTTAATTCTGTTTTAGGGACATTGTAACTGACGATAATAACTGAAAATAATGACAATTATAATGTATGATTTTGAATCAAAGCACATTTTCAAGCATCTATCAAAATGGCTCACTGTTAGAAGCTGGTCCACCACTCGTACTTCTTCTCAGATATGATCTCTCTTGCAGCAGGAAGCCACTGATATGGCCGCTGCATTCAGTGTGCCTTCAGTCATAAGTGCAGGTCTTTTGTAGCCATCCACTCACAGGCTGCAGTATACACATGGTGTGATGTCCTACAGAGCCACTTATGTCACACCTTATCCACTGCCCTGTTGTGCTTGTGCATGAGCAAACATTTTACCACATCTGAAGTGACCATTAGTGCAGTTCCATATCAATCCATTGAGGTAGGCCATGCCATAGGCTGCTTAAGGCTGGTATTGAGAAAGTAATGAATGAGAAATTTGATATAAAAAACATTTTGCATTTTTAACTTTGAGCGTATGTGTCCTCCTAATGTCAAACATCGACTACTTATTGATTCTGATTTGTTTTCTTCTCATGAATAATCTCTGTACTGTTGTAAATAACGTGCAGTACAGTATACTGACTTGTCTTTTTTTTGTCTGTGTAGCATGTAGATGTTGGCATTACTTAAACCGTGCACACTTTTTGCAGGTAATAATTCTGGGCACAGTGTGTATGACAACGTGCATAGTCAAAAAGTGTCACAGCTATGGGGAACTCTCCTCTGTAATCCTACGTTGTGTAATACTTGAACTGATTTTAAATTGATTTAGCAACTCATTGCAACAAGGGAAAGAATGTTTACTAAGAGCTTCACATACAAGGTCAGGACCATAGACTGATCAGGACCATAGACTGATCAGGACCATAGACTGATCAGGACCATAGACTGATCATGCACTTATTGTAAGTCGCTTTGGATAAAAGTGTCAGCTAAATGCAATGTAATGTAATGTAATGATCAGGACCATAGACTGGTCATGGCCATAGACTGATCAGGACGTGTCCTCTGAGTAATAATAAATGAGTACACATGCTGACTATTAGCGTGAGCTAGGTGAAAGACTTGGAAGCTCCATGTGTTTTCTGAACAGATGTGACAGCAGTTCACATGTCATCTTCTGCAGTGTACAACCAGTTTATGGAGCACAGCACCCCCCTCTCGACCCACGATTGCGTCGCACGTAAGTGCTGAACCCACCGTCTGTGGCTAACTCCCCACCTGACTGTATGACGTCACGTTACCCACATGGATGCATTTTATTTTTGTGTTTTTTTATTTTCTGTCTCCCATTTTTAACTTTGTTTTTCAGCAAGCTCTTCCATGCTTCAATAACTTGAACATTTGTGGATTGCATGCACCTGCACTGAACCTGCACTGAACCAGTGTGTCCTTAATTCAACCCATATAAGAGATTTCCTGTGTGCCATTGCCCTTTTCTTTTGCAGATTTTTTATTCGTTCTATGTAGCAGTACACCTACGTGTGAGTTGGTGAACCTCCCTTATTGTTTTTGTTTTTCTGTCTGATGGATCTCTCTGTCTGTACCTCTGCAGATATCCCAAAGACACAAAGCCCAAGTTCAACAATCTTAAGTCTAAAAAGGCCTCTAGCTTCCACGAGTTTGCTCGCAGCACCAATGATGCTTGGGACATCGACGAAGAGGAGGACGAAGATTTCCTCAGCACCCCTGCTCCAACTTTAAGCTCACCATCAGGCCATCACTCCACATCCACACAGGACCAGGTATCTACAATACGTCCTTTTCTACCGTGAGCACTGACATTGAGTTGGTGTGATATGAATGTAGATTTTCTGATGTGTTTCAGCAGCAGCAGCAGCAGCAGCAGATTCAAGCTGATGACACAGAAACGGGGGTGTCTGACAGACTGGCACCGCCCAGCACAGAGGCTCTAGACTTCCAGGATGTGCAGGAGGAGGATGCAGAGTACTGGGAACATGTCAATGGCAAGGTTGTCAAGTCTAGCAGCGACGCCCACCTCAACATGTCCTCAGGTACGTGGGTAATATGCTGCAGAAATGAATTGGAAATGAGACGTACTGAGATGTATTCATATTCAAGTTAGTGACAGGCTTTTTTCGGGCAGAGCTAATACT